ATGTAGGAAGGGCCAGATCCATTCACAGCATGGTACGCAAGTACCAGTGTCTTCAAGTGGATTCTAGCAGTTACTGGAAGCCAGTGAAGTGAGCGGAGGAGCGGTGTGGTGTGGGAACATTTTGGAAGGTTGAAGACCAGACGAGCCGCTGCATTCTGGATGAGCTGCAGAGGTCGGATGGCACATGCAGGTAGACCAGCCAGGAGGGAGTTGCAGTAGTCTAGGCGTGAGATGACGAGAGCCTGGACCAGAAGTTGTGTCACTTTCTGGGTCAGGAGGGGACGTATCCTCCTGATGTTGTAAAGAGTGTTTCTGCAGCAGCGGGTTGTTGCAGCAATGTTTGCAGTGAAGGACAGGTTGTTATCTAGGGTCACACCCAGATTCCTTGCAGTCTGAGTCGGGGAAACAACAGAGGGGCCGATGTTGATTGTTAGGTCAAGAGTAGGACAATCTTTTCCAGGAAGAAAAAGCAGTTCAGTCTTGTCAAGGTTGAGCTTGAGGTGGTGAGCAGACATCAACTGAGAGATGTCTGCTAGACAAGCAGAGATGCGTGCGACGACCTGGGTCTCTGAGCGGGGAAAGGACAGAATTAATTGGGTGTCGTCAGCGTAGCAGTGGTATGAAAAACCATGCAGGCTAATGACCGATACGAGCGAGTTTGTGTACAGAGAGAAGAGGAGGGGACCAAGGACAGAGCCCTGAGGGACCCCTGTAGTTAATTGACAAGGGTCGGACTCGGACCCTCTCCAAGTTACCCTGTAGGTGCGGTCTTTGAGGTAGAAGGTGAGGAGGGAAAGTGCAGAGCCTGAAACTCCAAGTTCTTGGAGAGTGCGAAGGAGGATCTGATGGTTCACCGTGTCGAATGCAGCAGACAGGTCCAAAAGGATTATGACAGAGGAGAGGGAGGCTGCTTTAGCAGTGTGCAGTTCCTCAGAGACAGCGAAGAGAGCAGTTTCTGTGGAGTGACCTGCCTTGAAACCAGACTGGTGTGGATCAAGAAGGTTGTTCTGATGGAGATAACAGGAGAGTTGTTTAAAGACAGCGCGTTCAAGTGTTTTAGACAGGAACGGGAGGAGAGAGACAGGCCTGTAGTTTATAACATCGGACGGGTTGAGAGTGGGTTTCTTTAGGAGAGGGTTTACTCTTGCCTCCTTGAGACTGTTTGGAAAGTGACCAGAAGTTAGAGAAGTGTTGATGAAATGGGAGAGAAACGGTAGAATATTAGGAGCGATAGTCTGAAGGAGGTTTGAGGGGATAGGGTCCAGAGGACAGGTGGTAGGACGGGCAGAGGTAATGAGGGTAAGAACCTCACTTGGAGAGAGAGGGGGAAAGGAGGTTAGTGTGTGGGTGAAAGGTAGGTCTGGTGACCCAGTGGTGAGTAAAGGTGAGTCGGAAAAAGAAGAGTGAATATCATCAACCTTTTTTCCAAAGTAGTTAACAAAGTCGCTTTGCAGAAGGGAGGAGGGGTTCGAGGAGGGTGGAGAAGATAAAAAATGGTTTTGGGGGATTGGAATAGGAAGAATGGATCTTATCTTGAAAGAAAGTGCTTTTTGCCTGAGAGATCGAAGAAGAGAAAGAGGAGAGGAGAGGCTGATAGGTTAGGAGGTTTATGACACCTGAGATCATAGCCCGCCTCACACAAAGAAGGCATGCTGTGATGTGAGATCTTCTTTTTTATTTTGACAAGAAACATGAGCTGTCAATTAGAAATGAATTTTTAGGACGAGGCAGAAGCAATGTCCTTTCAGATATGTTTTCATAAATCTGAAAAATATTTCTGATGTCCCCACCCACCCTTGCTGTTGAACTCTGGGTGTGGAGCAATAATAGTGTCCGTCTGGATTCCACTGTGTTTTGGGGAAAAATTCCTCTTCGGTCCTAACAGTCATGTTATGGAAGCCAAGTGCAATTTGTGCCAAAATATGAGTATGTAAGGTTTCAGGGGAAGACAAAACCCCTACTGTGTGTCCTGTTCCTCCAGAGAGAGAGACAAACTAAATAGATACGTGCTTTTTGACAAAATATACGAGTCTAAACAAATCTATGGAATCTTGGAGAAAACAAATGCAATTAGCAGCAAGAATTTGCTTAAGCTTCTATCTTTTTCCCCAAGTAATAGGCAAGTGTCTGTGGAGGGTCCTAAGAGGTGATTATGGTATACAAAAGTAGATACATTTGGAAGCAACTAGACATGGGGAAACTAAGAAAACAATGGGAACTGAAGCACTGGATTAATGAAAGGTTACATTTTAATCTCTGTGCATATTTTTGAAGATTAGCTGATACGAGCAGGACTGTTCAAGGCCACAGCCCGCGCCTCTGCCTTGTGATCTGTGGCTGGATGTATGGTTGTGTGGGTGTGTATTTGTAAAGTGAGGTGGGGGTGGAAAGGGGTTCTTGGCACAGCTCGGCAGTCTTGTGATGGGAGATCAGGAGTTTGTTCTCAGGGTATTAAAAAACAGGTACCTTCTTCCTCCCTGCATACTATGTGTTTTTGACTGGACATTTGTTTTTACACACCCAAAATGATCTGATTATTCAAGTAAATGATTTTGTGATATTCATCTAAGTAATAGTTTACTTTACTGAATAGGCCTGATCGGAAATAAGAAACCCTTCTTATGAATAAATAATGGTTTCGTCAGAGGTTGTTTTCCCATCGCTGACCGACTTCATAAGGCAGAAACAGAGGGGAATCACTGTTTATGACAGCAGTGTTAGTTAAATATTAATATGCAAGTGCCTGCTATTAGTTTGTGGGATTAATGGATTCCTCATCCTGTTGGACACATTTTCACACCTGCATTCGAGGGTTGCTACTATGCGACAGAGCCGTTTAGTGGTAACAGCTCTAAACCCCCACTCATTCAATGCATATTCAAAAGTGTCTCACATTTTTTATTAAGCAATCTTCCCTTCCACCGCACATAAACAGTTGCTCGTATATTTAAAAACCTGTGTGTCAGATGCACATTTGCTTGAAGTCTTTATAAAGTACATTTGTTATCAGATATAACCTTTAATGTGTCTGTAATTTACTCCTGGACATGTAAAAACGTTGACACATACTTGCAAAGTGGCATGTTTCACAAAGCTACTAAAAAGAGATATGACCCAGTCTGTCAAATATAAACTGATGACAAACATGATGATTAGCATCAAATTACTCTTTATGCCCTAAAGGAGGAGCAGTCAAGGAAACAAAATGGCTCCCTTTGCTCAGTCATTGCCGGCAATTTGGCCGAGGTTTCCTTGGCAACGCAAACTTGGTTTCTCACTGAGGACGAGGAGAGATGGTGCTGTTACAACGCAGCAGCAACAACACTCGCATCCAACAGTAACAGCCTTGATTTTTGTTTTCTCATCAGTTCTCCGCTCAGTGTCAGCAGGTGTGATTATACTAATGCAGAGAGCTCTATTCATCTCACATGGGCGTAGGAGCACGGATGAAAACAAAAAATAATAATGTTTTTTGCCCTTTACACGTATTCAAATGATTTGTCTTGCCTTGTATATTGCTTCATCAAGGCACTATTTCCGTAACAATACACTTGGTTGTCCTGAAATAAACCTTGTTTATTTTCACGATGAGCATTTCCTGGTCAGAGATTAATGAAGAGGATAGTTTAATATGGCATTAATCTTATCGGTACATCTCATTTCATTTGTTTTTGGCCAGTTTCAGTGCTGCTGTTATGTGTATTAGTGCAGCCTCAGGGACTAACTACCAGGATGTCGTTGGAAATTGAGCTATTCGACGAGTTCCATGCTTCAGTATAACAATCATATTTATGCAGAGATAAAAAGAATGTCTGATTTTGTTAAAAGTGTGTCTTCATAGGTAGAGAAAAGGCTCTATCAACCATTAACAAACCAAAATGATTTCCCCAAAATGCATTGTCCCAGAGCTTAAAGCAGGGTAGATTTTCCTATCTTGTCTTTTTTGTGTTTTTAATTAGTTTATAAGAATACAACTATAAACGTTTAAATTAATGTCAAAGAATCAGAAATATACTAGGAAAAAAAGATATCTTCCTCTTTGGTTATTTCTGCACAATTCTAATCAAACATGCAAATGCCTTCTTGTGCACGTGCCTCTCTTTCTGTTTGTCTTTACCTCACTAGGTGTGCTTCCTAAATGTTGGGTTTAGTTGCCTATGTAAGCCAGCAGCTCATGGTTTCTTCATTCATTTAATCCAAACCTGTCCAGTCTGGCAGCACAGCTATGTCATTAAAAATGGATGTAAATGAGCTTGTTTTGTGTTGCTTTATTCTCCCGTATCAGATTAGACGTGCTCTTTACTTGGTCGGGCATAAATGACCTTTTGGTTCAAGTCCTCATGTCAGACTCCATTTCCAACAAGCCACTGCTTATCAGTAACCTATTACTTCTTGCTCTGGCAGCCTTAACAAACATTGGCAGAGGCATTTGCACACACTTCCAAATACAGCAGACAAACACAGATATCCCAAAAATCCACTGAAGCACACAGTCTCACAGCGTTTTGTCTTTAAAAGTGATCTTGGACAACAAAATGTAGCACATTCTGTTTTCAGCTGGCACAGTTTTTGAGGAGTCGTGTGTTTATGTAATTTGCAAAAGAACGTCATCCAGCTCTCTTTCCCTAACAAAATAGATACCACAGCTAAATGTTTTTGTCCTGTGGAATTCTTTCTTGAATTAGGGAACCCAAAAAAATTAGATGTGTCATTTTAGCTACAATGGCTACCTTCTCCTGAGTTGGATTTCTGTGTGTGTGCATCTATTCTCCCCAGGCCAGTTGGGGTAATGTGATTCTGTTTAACGCGCTCTTTACATACCCTTGAGGAAAACACATCCAAGCTGTTATTGACTGGCTTGTTTGGGACCATAAATGATGGAAATGACATTTAACTGCAGTACAAAATACACAAGGAATGAGATTTCTTGGGCGCGTTCTGTTCTGTTCATGTCCTGAGTTTTTCACAAAATTGAAAATGTTTTGCCTCTTTTTCTTTAGGTGGTGTGGGTATTGCAGCCACACAGCTGTGCAACACAGTGAAGGACGTGACTGTGTTCGGCACGGCCTCCGCCAGCAAGCACGAGACAATCAGCCAGGGTGGAGTCACACATCCCATCGACTATCGCACCAAGGACTATGTGGAGGAAGTCCGCAAGATCAGTCCGAAAGGTGAGAAACTTGAGCATCAGCACTGGGAATAATGATCTAAATTTGGAATTTGTATGCAAAAGGATTGTAAACAATGTACCAGAGTAACCCATCTATAATCAAAGTTTACAGCTGTGAAAATCTATTTACAACCCGTGAGCAAAATCGCCAACCATTTTGTAATTTCAAATAAAAACGAATTGATTCTCAACGGAAACTTGTCGTACTTTAAATCTGAATAGGATGTTTGTTAAAACAAAAAGAAGTCCAGGTGAAGCCCAGATCATCCTCATTGGCCCCTGTTCTTTGTTGTTTTGCAGAAGTGGCCCACAGGGAATGCAAGTTGAGATTTTATTTATTTATTTAACAGGGACAGTGCACATGAATCAACATTTCTGTAAATATGCCAGAGTTTGCCAAAAGGATATTTTTCATCTGTAGTCCCTGGACAGATTTTGTAAGTCACCCTAAAGACACATTTCTGCCTCACAGTGATATGCATGCTTATGACTGAAATTGGTTCGTAAAGCAAATAGTCCAGATCGATATATTTCCCAACAGGCACAAAGCAATAGCTTACTGTGAGGTTGCAGCAATTGCTGAACAAAGCGAGATGCGTGTTGAACAAACTGCAGGCTGTCAGTGAGATGATATATTGTATTGTACACTTTCTCACAACACAACGTTAGATGAGCTGGCTGCCATGCACACTACACTGACAGCATGTACGGAGTCTATTTTTTCCTATCAAGTAAACTCACTTTGCTGAACTGCTAAACAACTGTTTAGATTCTTACTGTCGTCAATAAAGTATCTGCAGCGTTTTATGGTAATGTGGCCCTAGACTCCAAAAATAAAACCACATGAGCTGTTTGTTTTTTTGTTTCGCTGACTGCTGTGTTCCTAGCAGGATGGAGATGGTTATGATGCTCATTTTATAGTCCCCACTCCAACCCGTCTCTGTTCTTTGTAGCATGGAGCGAGACAGACAGACATTACAGAGACGGATAGGAAGCAAGCGAGAGCTGACACTTTGGACAGAATGTATCTAATTAGAAGCCTGGATCAATGTGCAGCCCTGCTCGCTACCTTTCCATCCGTCTTTGGGTCTCTGTCAATTAAACTGGGCGTGGGTCAAGGCAGAGTCCTGCTGTGAGCCTCCCACGATCAATAGAACCAAGGTTTAACAGAGCAAGGAGGGGTAGCCCAATTTGAGGAGTCCCCTCTGGCACAGAGGAACATCATTAAGGCCGAGGCTACTACATGGCCAGACAGTAATAAGCCACAAAGACATAGTTAGGTTGCCATTCCTTGCCATCTGTCCAGAGGTTGGTTGGTTGGATTTTCTCTCCACCTAGGAATGGAATGGACAATGACGGAGAGACATTTAATCCCTCTTGTCTTATCAGTGACAAAGATGAGAAAACATAAAACAAGTAGGCTCTTATCCCACTCTCCTCCTCTCCTCTCTGGCATACGTATGGTTTCTTATTCGTGTAAACATGGCACAACTTGGCTACAATCGCTACTCCTAGTGAACGCTGGCATGCGGAGGAGGCTGCCGAGGAGACTTGGCAGGCTGCTCCTGCTGAATTCACACCCGTGATAACTGTCCCTTCTTCTCTCTCCTGCACCAGGGCTGGACATCATACTGGACCCTCTCGGAGGATCAGACACCCATAAGGCCTACAACCTGCTGAAGCCTATGGGGAAACTCATCACCTATGGTAAGTTGTATGAATCAATTTAGATTAGTATAAACTAGAGGCATGTTTGGAGCAGCTCTATTTGAATCATCAGTAACACAACACAGCCCCTCCAAGAGTTCATGCTATTAGATTTGGGTAAAATAGTCAATCTGGAACAACCCTTACCAATTTTACCATTCTTCCAACCAATGTTTCCCTCTAACCGTATTTTTAATGTTTTGATGTTTCCAGGTGCTTCTTGTGTAATGCCTGATACAACATATGTTGTGTATTAAAGGGGACCTATTATGCTTAGGTTTTCCCTTTAGTGCATGTCAATGGTCTGCAAAGGCTAAAATCCCTTAGTTCACGCCAGAGGGATTTTCTCTCCCACACACCTGCCTGAAACACCTAGATCCTAGTCCTTTGTTTATTTCTGTGACATAGACATCACTACGTAACTATCTAAATTATATTGGCTAGCGCTCCAATACATTGTACGCGATAGGCTAAGGGGCGGGACATCTCTAAGTGTTTGACCAATCGTTGTCAGCGCTGCAAAGCCTGGTAGGAAGCACAGAGGTTTCCTTTTAGATTAACTTCATTACTAGTTACCTGCAAGAACTATAGCTTTATTTTTTAGTATAACTCAACTTTATTGCAAATTGGGATTTTCACATTAACAGATACTGTTGGCTAATATTAGTCCTTGGGGATTTTTTGTTCGTTGGTTTATCTGATTGCCTCTTTACAATCTATGTGTGTAATTTAAAAAAAGGTTCCTACATTCATATGTTCAGTATAATTAATTTGCAGAGAAAGAGACACAACCCACAATAAACAAAGTAAAGATTAGTTTTATTCTTATAATAGTGTTACAGTGAATGTTTTTGGCCATAAAAATCATGCAGTAACATTCTGTTATCCTGACAGATATATTTGAAAAAGTAGCTTGAAATTCGGCCATTTTGGACTTCTTGATATTTATAAAAAACTCCACAAGATCTTGGAGTGTTATTGTAAAGCAAAGTACATGAAATACTTGTGGGTTTCCACAGAGAGAGAATAAAGCTGCTTCCTGGTGGGCTGTGTGACCTCTCAGTAGAGGTCCATGTCCTCAGTGTGCTGTGTGTCATCTGTGGGAGGGTCTTTACGCTTGCTGCTCTGTGCCGATGCCAATCTGGAACCAGCATGCATGCAACAGTGGGCGGGGTCGGCATCCATGAAGAACAGGGCCTTGCCTTTGCATGCTGCACAAAAACCCACTACCCAGCATGGTGCCCCCCACCCTCGCCCATTCACCCTCTCTGGGTCCACCCTCCCGGTCCCTCCGTGCCGGTTGCTTCTCTTCCAGCTTATTAGAAGTATGCATGGTGGAACAATGGGGCGTTCTATCCACACGAAACCTGGAATGTGTCTGAATGTAGCAGGCCGATCCCCTCTGTTCTCTCAGAGAATGCTTTGTGTCCCCTGTTTCCCCTGAAAGAGACAGGGACAGTGTGAGGGGACAGGAAGGGGATGTGGTGACAGTGAAGTGCTAGAAGTGGTTTTCAGGGTAGAAGGTGTAGGTGAGAGTGTGAGAGAGGTGGGGGGAAGGTAAAGAAACAGAACTGACCAGCTGCCAAATGATGAACCAGTCTCTTATTAATGTCAACAATTGTTTGGCCTATAACATGTCATAAAATTGGACAAAATAAAAAAGGGGGGACATCAACAAAACCTAAGATTGTGTCTTTGACATATTCTTGTCCAACATCCCAAAATATAATGGAAAAATAAAAATATTGCATTAAACAGAAAGTGGTAAATTGTCAAATTTCTAAAGCAGGAGCTAATGGATATTTGGCATTAATCTTTGATAAATGAGTAAAAATGTATTGATTTTTATTCAGTAATTTAGAGATTGTTTCATTGCTAAAAGGGGAGAATGTGATGATCCGTTAGTGTGAGCTAAACAGGAAGAGAGAGAAAGTAAGAGTGTGGGCAGATAATTTAATAGAAAAATGAACCAGGACAATTCATCATCAGTAAATCAATTATACACAGAGATTTAGAAATGGACCACAGAAGCCTTTCTCTCCATGTAACAAAGACTGAGGATCTTTCTCTCCTCTCTCCATCAGGTGCGGCTAACATGCTAGCGGGCCAAAAGAAGAACCTGATTGCCGTGGCCAAGAACTGGTACCATCAGTTCTCCATCCACACGCTCAGCCTGATCCAGGGGAACAAGTCTGTGTGCGGCTTCCACCTGGGCTACCTGGACGGAGAGACGGAGCTCATCACCCAGGTCATGAACACCATCCTGGATCTCTACAAGCAGGGCAAGGTCAAGCCCCACATCGACTCCACTTGGCACCTCGAGCAGGTGGGTGATGTTGCCTTTACCCTTGGAGTTGATCTCTATCACAATAACAAAAATGTTCATAACATTGCAGAACATATTTTCCAACCAATTTACAACGAATGCAGTTGATAAAAAAATGTCTATGTTCTGTAGTGAATATTTGAATTGCTTCTTTGGGTGATTCCATACTCAAAGATGTTTCCACAGAGCACAGTTTGCATAATGTCTTAAAAGCTTTTTTAAATGATGAATTGTAACCACTATTTTTTCAAGGTAAGGAATAACCTTGAATTCAAAAATGCTTTTTTTTTTAAGTAGTTAATATTCAACTTTCTTTTTTTTCCGTTTACAATCAAGTGAATCTTCTATCTGCTCATAGTTGAAAAATAAAATGGTATTGATGTATATGACCATTACCTGCATTGATAGCTGTGGGTATAAAGATATTCTGCACATTTTATTTTTAGTTTCAGGTTTATGTATGCCTGGTTGTTTGTGCAACTAAATGCATTCCTGTGCAGCTCATTCTGGATGACTCGATGATTTATGGTGACACGGGTGCATTTACACCTGAACGACATTCATTTGTGTTTATATTTTGTGCTGACAAAACAGTGACCTGGAATTCAAGTGAAAGCGGGTTTGTGCGCGGGTTTGTGCGCGGGTTTGTGCAGCACGATCTGCAGGAGCAGGGTGTGGCTCTCAGATTCAATAACGCTCAACATTCAACAGGCGTAGTTTGTCCACAAGAAGCGCTGCGTCTCATAACTCACTCAGCCAGACAGAGTCAGATTGTTTCTGACAAAATTAACACTGCCAACAGATATGAATAGAGAGAGTGTGAGAAAAAGAGGGTGTCAGAGGCTGACATCTTCTGTTGTTGAGTCGTTACTGGTCAGTATTTTGGCCTGCATTACTTTGGCCAGAGAGAAACACCCGCTGTCTTTCTCCGCCATCTGACGCTCTTTCTCTGCCTCTCCATCTGTCTTTATATGAGACTCTTTCTCTCTTTTTAGGTTATTTACTCCCTCTGTGTCTCTCTCAGTCTCACTGTTCCTCTCCCTCTCCCTCCTCACAGTGTATCTTTTTCGCTTTTTCTCTCGTGTTGCTATGGTGACATCCTTTAGTCAGTGTGTGGGTCTGTCTCTGGGAGGGGCCCTGATGTATGAAAAAGAGACATGGAAGGACCGTGGAAACACAGAGGAGAAGAGGGAAAATGTATATTTCAGTCTGGCTAAAGGCAAATGGGTGCAAGTCTCAGCGTAAAAGACAATAATCTTATACCGTAGATAACTGTGATATTTATCAGATAAAAACATCTTTATTACAAGCTGAGAAAAAAATGCCACGCCCTGATCCAATCCCTCACAGCCCTTCATCAATCTTGTTGTCACCCCTGTTTTTTTCCTCCAATAATCAATGAACACGCTTGGACAATGTTAACAAATTAGCATTATTGCTCTGTTGTGTGATTTCTTGTGGTTACTCATCTACATACGCACTGATACCCAAGAGGATAGCGGTCATCGCGTCTGCAGCCGCAAATAGCACACTCCAGTCCGAGATTCCTGGGAGTCAGAGAGGTCGACAGATTTCAGAGAGTGGAGGGTGGACGTGGGTGGAGCAGTCGGAGGAGCATCAGTGGCTCTTACTGTGACTTTCATTCACATTGAAGATGATTCTTATAATTCCCCGAACTCACCCCTCCCACCCTTCAGTAACGATGAAGGCGTGTTTCTCATCCGAAGGACACCAGTTGCTCCCCTCCTCCCTTCCACTTCCAACTCCCACACTCCCCCCCCCCCCCCCCCCCCCCCCCCCCCCCCCCCCTCTTTCCCATGTGTCTGAATCGTCAGGGCCACGGTTGAGCTGAGGCTTTACGTTGCTAGGAGATGGCCCTGTTGCCGTGGCATTGGTCGTTAGGTGGTCTGCCTGCCTCGCACGGAGAGGGGGATCGAAGGGAAGGAGGCAGGGCGAGGCGATGGAGACGGTAACGACAGTGAGCTCGTGGTCAACAGCAGGGTGGGGTTGGTCTCCTCAGTGTTTTGAGGACAATTTATCAGTTGGGCCAAGGTGGTCGATCCATCATTGGATAAGGTTTCAGTGGATCAGCTGTCAACCCAGTGTCTCTCCCTAGATGTGAAATGGTTTATTCTATAATTATAAGCTTTTATCTCATAGCTGAAACATGTTAGTATTCAACATTCTAAATTTTTTTCTACAAGTTAACTTAAGAAATGTTTGACTATGTATACAAATCTTCCATAGGCCGATGAAGTACCTCATAAATGACCATACTTGTAACTCGTAATGAACAAGCACATACCCCGCATGTGCACACACTTCCAAACCAACAGGAGCAGAGAGGAAGGCATGGGGCTGGGCCAAAAGTGAGCAGATCTTAAATAAACGATTAAAATAATGACCTTTCACACTCTCCAAGGCGTCCTCTTATTAATGACACCTAGGTGACATTTGTTATCCCATGTGCTCTTCATCTGAATAGTCTGATTGGAACAGTGAACATTGGCACCTAAACTCTTAATGATCTGATTCACTGATTCAAGACTTGTTTGTTTAATTCAAAAATATTTCCAGTGTAAAAATCCTACTGTAATCTTCTCCTTAAATAATGGGCACCATCTGTTAGCAAATGTTTGATTGATTCATTTGCAGTGGGTCCCAACCCAATTTTACAAAAAGAAAATATATATATCATCTTTATTCTCCTGCACCTACTAAAAATGACAACCAAAAAATCCTCCGCCTTTCTTTCCTCTACTTAAAATCCAGGGATGATATACATTGCTAATTAACATACATGTGTTGCCTGATACGATTGGGAGATCAGAGGAAATTCTTTTTTTTATTCCTGCCCATTTGTTCTCATATAAATGTCATTATATTCATCATACATTCTTATATTAAATAATATCTATTTGCAGTATGTTCTTCCGCTCATTTTCTTTTCTTACTATTCTTTTTTCCTTTGTTTTTTCCTGCTGCAACACGTTCATTTCCGCTCAAATATTATTAAAGTCGCCTTTAGACAAATGAAGTTCCTCATATACTGCATATTAAAGTCATATTTGAGTCTGGAAAATGTGTTTCTGTGGTTTCAAAACAGAAGATTAGGGGCGCAGAGTGCGAGGAGGCTCTTATTGCTGTGCATATGCAATAGTGGAAAAGAAACTTGCTAATATTGTGTGCTCTGAATAGATTTTCCTCGATGATGGGGGTATTTAAAATCTTCCTTGCCCTCCTTCCACTCTTTGATCTCACTTTATATAACGTTCGTTCCCCTCCTTCTATCCCTCCTCCAGGTGGGCGATGCCATGAGAAAGATGCAGGAGAGGAACAACATCGGCAAAGTGATCCTCACCACAGAGCCCATGCCTGAGGAGGAGAAAAAGGAGGAGCCCAAGAAGGAGGACAAGAAAGAGGACAAGAAGAAGGACGACAAGAAGAAGGACGACAAGAAGAAGGACGATGGCAAGAAGGAGGAGAAGAAGGACGACAAGAAGAAAGAGGAGCCCAAGAAGGAGGAGAAGAAGGAAGAGGAGAAGAAGGAAGAGCCCAGCAAGGAGGAGAAGTGAGAGGGAGGGATGGAGAGTCAAGCAGACCAGCTGGGAGTGTGTGTCCTGGGAGCAGGGGGTGGGGTTGGGGGGAGGAGGGAGATGGATGGGGTGGGAGGGTAAGGGCGTAGTGTAAGCGAAGATTAGAAGGCGTTAGAAGGGTAGATTATTACAAAATGATCACTCCACTATCAATCGTATATCTCTTCCAGCCCCTGCCCCCACCTCACTACAATGGCAGTTATTACTCAGGCCTGGCTCCCCCCGCCCCCCTCCCTTCCCGTTTTCTTGCCTTTATCTATAGAAAATCATATAAAAAGTCCAATCACTTGTAACACCTTGTAAGCGTGTTACCTTGTCAAATTGAGATGTCAAAAGTAACACTCAAAAGATGTCTCCTGTTGGGACAGACAAAGACAAGAGAGCTGTGGAGGATTGTGGGTATGTTCCAGGCCTGGGGCGTATTACTGTTTCCTTGACGACTGTAATCAATGCTCGCACTTCGGCCCCGCCCTCGACCCCCCCAAATCCCCTCCGCACCTCAACTCCCACTGTGCTAAATTGTTCTGCTCTGACTTCCACCTGCCACCTCATCTCTTCCCCCTCTCTGTGCCGAGTCCTCCCCCACCTCCCACAGCACCCCCCACCGTCCACCCCCTCCCCCGACCCATCCACGGGCCGGACCCGCAGACAGGCAGAGAATGGGAGAACCACACCCACCCACACGTCGCTCCCTTAGTGTCCAGCGCTTAGTTATGTCACGGAGGATGAGTCAGCGATGCCTGTGATTGGCTGATGCATCCCGGCTCCCCTGCAGATATTTGCATCATGGTTTCGATCGTGATTTTTGATTGCTTGAACAATAGTGTTATTGTTGCAAGGCCTTTAATTGGTTATCGTTCTTGAATTTCCCCACAAGTATTTTCCTATGTATATCGCTTTAGCTTTGATATATCTTTATCTGTGGAGAGGGAGAAAGCTCAGTAACGCATGCGTTCCCACCACATTTCAGTGAAGTTTAATATAGTGTCTGCAGTTTTGTACTTGCCTGAATATGAATTCCCCTCATAATGAGCCTCTGTGTGCAGTGTTGAATAGGGAGGCAGAAAATCATTGCTCAGCTTCCTTCTCCTTAGTTACAGATTTTTCTAGCTGACCAACTGTTGGCAAGAAGTGCGCAGTGCCAATTAAGAGAGAATTTGTTTCTGCTCAAACAAGCCACAAATACACACACAGGCATACACACTGAATGGGATGAAAAGAGGCACTGTCATGCTGAGACAGTGAAGCTTTCAAAATGAGCAAGTTAAGAAGGTGAATATCAGTCCTTTTTTCCTCGGGATCGGGCTCTCTTCCTCCCTGATCCTCCTCGAGGCATTCCATGGCATTCTGCTCCTTTCACAGCGACCGCTCGCTTGTCGATCACCCTGACCTGAGAGAGGAGAATTCAATTCAAGCTGGCGTCCATACTTCGCCTCCCCTGCTTGTCTCTACTCTCTCGCCCTCCTCTTTCCATTTCCCTCTCTATGGTCGGCATAGCAACAGGCGTCAGACTCGTAAGAGAAGGCACTGTGGTCGGTTTCTATCTGACTCCCTCTCCCTGTGTCTCTCTTTTCTGCCTCCCTAACTCTATATTCGACCAGTATTCCAAAAAAGATGAACGTATGGGGCATTTCTGATGATACAATTAATAGCTGGAGCCGTGTTTAAAGATTATAAACCTGGCACACCAAAACAGTTTGTTCAAAACAGTGAAATTGAAATAATAGGATTGTGCAATTAGCGGTGTGCTTGCAAAAACAGTGCACCACTCCCCCTAATGGCTAGTATGCATTTGGTCTCCCTGGTGTAATGTCATTAATGTAAATCCTTTGAATCTCTCCATAAATCCCACTGGGTGGATTCTAGATATTTCACGTAGAACGATATCAACTTCAAACCTTAGAAATATATCTACCTGCCTGTCTGTGAGCCCGGCCTCAGTGTATGAGACTCAGATGGTGACTAGTGACTTTGTAAAAAACACAAAACAAAATGTTTAAAAAAAAAAAGAAAAGAAAAAAAGTTGTTGTGTTAGCATGAGTGGCCTCCCTCGTGTGCTGTGTGTGGTGTGCCATTGTGTGTGAAGATGTGTGTGTGTGTCCTCAGGTCGTTTGTCAGGTTTTAAAAGCACCCACCTTACCCTTGCCCCATTTCACCCTCACACTACTCTGCTACAGTGTAATGTAGCTCAAACACTCCCCTCTCACTCTATCTCCCCCTCCTGTCTGATAAGAGGCCTGTGTTATGAGGACAGTTGGTATTAGTATTTTTGCACTCTGCTCGCTGATCTTAATGCACTTACAAGCATGGCAGTCGCACTCCAGTCCCACGCAGGCTTTCATTCTGCTCCAGGTTTACAGCCTGTTTCCCATCATCCACTCCCAGTGCATCTGCTGAGGCTCAGTGAAAGCACAGGTGTCACACACACACATATAAACAGTCACGCAGGTCCTCTAATTTCTCAGCCTGTCCCTGCCTGGGCCAACTTCTCCTGGGTGGCAGCTAAAATCAAAGCATTCATCCATCCTTGACTGTGGGAGGTAAGATATGGAGCAGGGTGGGGTGCACCGGGCCGGAGTGCGACAGCCACGCTGGTGTGGGGAGTGACTGTGTCCTGTCAGCCTCTGGTTAGTGTTCTGTTCTAATCTGCTGGGCTCCCTTTGTGAACCTGTGGACGGTGCTTCTGTTCTGAGTGCCATGTGAGAAACAAACGCTTCAGTAAAAAACAAAACAAATGTTTTACTTGTTTTATTTTAATTTACCTTTATATTTCCGTTTGTTTGTCTATTTTGTTATCCAAGGGTTTAAAGTTCAAAGATCATTCTCTAATGTGGGGACCTGCCAACCTGCACTCCTTTTAAATGTGATGAAAACGTTCTGTTGGTCTGAACCATATGTGCCAAATTGTATGTATATTCCTCTGTCAATGCCTTGCATATAGTGCATAAAAACAATATTAAGGAAATTCTGTTTTTGGATGCAGCCTTGAAGAAAAGTGAAAATACAAAAGAGTCGTCACAGCATGTCAGATTTCTATCCCAATGCCATGGGTGCTGACAGTATTCTGCTGCAGTTTACAAAAGGTTTAACACAATTTGTAGTTTTTGATCAGTCACAGTGTGTGTTGCTCCAGTATAGGCCTGCACTGCGCCTCTCTCCTTGCACAGTTTACTTCAACCCGAGGCACCTACCTATGTATTTTTAACCTTTTGACTGTGTTTTACCAGCTCTCACATCATTTCAACCACAACAGGTTGAAGCGTTTACAACCATAGTATTAGTATCACAGTGAAAAGGGACTGGGCGCGGTGCATCTAGGGTTCAAAACTCCACCAAAAGACATATAGATCAACACAAAACTCCTCCAAGCCCAAAGCCCCATGATAATTCTCTATGGATTTCAATGTCTTTCAGTTTCTTTCCAAATGGCTTGTGTAGCAAGGGAGGGAGCAGATGTTTTCACACAGCTGTGCAGGGATGCCATTACTGTAACACAGCTGCACAAAAACCCGGCTTATTGGCTGATCATAGCTCAGCTCTGGCCTGCACCAGACACAACATTTCCGCTTCACAGCTGATCCCAGTTCGCTCAAAGACTATAAGGGACGTTCCTCTTTTCCTGCGCCGCATCTGCAGAGCCTCTTGGCCGGTGCAACAGGCGCAGTCCAACATTCCTCTCTATATCGCCCCCTTCTCTCTCCCTACACAATCATAGCAGATAAAACATCAGTTTGACATCTGGAATTTAAAACTGCATGCATTCAACCATGTGGAAAAACTATTATAATATCTGAGCTAAAAATGCCTTTGAGATGAACTCAATCAGTTTGGGGCTGGCCTGTTGCCTGAGTGCACTTCCACCATGGGGAAGCTGCAGTGTAACGTCATCTTGAAATGGTTTCCCAGTCATTCCAGACACTTATGCAAGAGTGCTTAGCAACTCAGAGATGCACAGGAGAAAAACTGTGTTTTAAAGTCAAAATAAACAACGTGGTAAGTTTCTACACATTTGCTGTTTTAGATTTGGTATTACTATTTAATGCACTGAGACAATAAGTGTAGTATTTCTGATAAGCCCCTCACAGGCACCCACCGTTTAGATTTGAGGTGAACTTCGTTATGTTTTATATGGTTTCTCAGGTCATTCCAAACAGCAGATTTATTCATGTAGAAAACCACTACATTTAGCATTTATTAACACACACATTGTTCTATATCACTGCACAAACTGTCTGGCCATCCATGTTCTTTAAGCTTTAGTATTTAGAGTCAAAGTGCGAGGCTCTCTCACTTTGTTCACTCATCCACACTGAAAACCCAAACAACCACATCAACCTGCGGCTATTGTTTCTTTAGCAGTATTTTTTTACATCACACCTCCATTGCAGTTGCTACGGAAGTACAACCGCGCTGGACTTTTCATGTACAGTACTAGGATGCATGTTTAGTCAACCAGAAAATAAGGCATGTTTTTATGTACAGCTCACCGTCTCTTTCCATGATAGTTAAGTAGTCATGTAGTGGCATGGTGTGAGGCAGAAGGCCTTTCCAGTCGTATCAAGTTGCCAACTGAAGCCAATCCACTGCCCCCCGACCCCCCCTGTCCTCACCTTAAGCATTGGCACTGTTATGGCCAGCTGGTCCATTCATGACACACCTTAACCTTTCTCTGGGAATGTTTCAGAAACTAACTTTACGTCACATCCCACCAACCCTAACCCGTTAAGAGTTCAGTCACCAATGGTCATTTCCAACAGGTTGATTTCTATGTTAGTTCTCCTCTACTCTGTCCTTCCATATGTTGTTTTTCCTTGTTGCAAACACTCTCAACTTTGTTTTTTAAACCCTTTGAATTGATGCTGCTTCTGTGCTTGACTCTGGGTTTACTGCGTGGTGCCATGTTGTCCACATGGCCTGCCTCTAGAGCTTGTAACGCTTCAGTGTGTAATGTTACCATATGCCTTACATGTTTTCCAGGACTAATAAAAAAAGCATAACAAAAACTTCAGATGTGCTTTTTTATTTCTGTTTAACATTGTTAACAAGTTGAAGAGACACATACAGGTTTTTAAGTCATTAATTGTACTCTTTACTCCAATTTACCATGAATATCTAGTTTATTTTCTTAATTAAATGATCCTTAAAATGGTAGTACAAAATGTATATCTACACTAAAGTACGAGCACACTACACAGAACAGTATGCAATTTGTTTTACAAAATAAAATTGAGATATGGAGATTCTTTTTTCAGGAATGCGGTATGGAATAATTTTTGGAATGGTGGTTGGTCCCATTTGTCATCACAGTCAGTTTGACAAATTATAACTTTAATCATCTATATTAAAAAAGCAATTGTATACAAGGGTTCAAAAACATCTGCAGCGAGAGCTATAAAAGCTTTAAAATATTTCAATCTCTACAGTATGTACATAATCAAACATCAGGAACTTGTTCAAAAAATGTGAACTACTCAACACACACAAATAGTGCAAATGGCTGTGATCAAACCTTTTTTTAATGATACAATTATTTATGAAGATAGCTCTTGTTCCTAAGACTTGGCTGGTTGCTCCTCAATCCCATTTGAGGCCAAGACCTCAGACAAACGAGTCAAATATGTGGAATCTGGGTAACCGTTCCTGAAAGAGACAAAAATAAAAATTAGTACATGGACTAATGTGGCCTAAACTCTACAGCTCTGTTCTCTGTTTGACATCCACACTCACGCTGATTTGCCTCCATGTACGGTGGTCTTGTGTGGGATGCCGTCCCAAGCGACCCTGGCCTCTGTGTCTTTGCCTGTCACTGTGAAGGTGAGTCCTTGCTTAAAAGCTTTCCTCAGCCTGAGCACCAGCTTCCTCGTGTTCTCGCTGTCGGGAAGGTAGGCTTGAAAGGTACCTCCTTGAAATGGTTCTCCTGGAGAAGGGTGATCCTCCTGGTGAGGCGGAAAGCAAAGACCATGGTCGTAAACAAAGTCTATAGATATTAAGTATTGTTATTAAAGCTCTATTACCCCTTTCACACCAAGGCTTTTCCCGTTCTAGCTCCGTGCTAGAGCTTTTCTGGTTCAGAACCGGTTCTTCGGTTCAGCTCCCGCTCTGTTCACACCGCTCAGAGCCCGACTGGTGCTGTCGCTGCTGCGTCATGACGTCACAGTTTACGTCGCTGATTTTCTCCCCAACGGAGCTCACAACAACAACGGCCCGGGGACTGCGTCGGGTCGATGACCGTGTTGCTTTTAATCATACGAAGCCAGATTAAATAAAATAACGACTTCTCCAACCTTATACTTTTCTCCAGAGTGCCGTGGTTCATTGTTTATTAATGTGTTTCAGCGGCATTTACCGACCGCTGCAGTGCTGGCTGCTCTTCCACGGGAGTTTATTCTCCCGTTAGCTCCGGGTTAGCTCACACGGCTCTAAAGTATTCACTGTCTGACTGTCACACAAGCAGCTGATACATATCCCCAGTTCCCCATAAGTGAATGTGTGTCAGTCTGAATTTACGCTGTTTGGCATCACAACGCTGTTATGAAAGTGTCTCTGATATAAAATGGGTGATGTTAGCATAGCAACCAAAGTTAAACTGACTATAACTTGACTACTTGTTGCTATCCTATTGTGGCATAAGCCGTTTTCTACAGGCACATTTTACCGGCGTATTTTTCATTATGATTCTACTTGTGATAGTCGGACATGACAACCTGTGAAGCCCATGTATTGATTCCATCCGATAGCATGCTATAATACAAAACAAAACGTCTGCCTGCTCTCCACAATGATCAATAACAGCGAACGGATGGTCAAAGTAAGGTACAAATAAACAAAATCACAAGAAGCCTGGTTAGTGTTGCCTGACTTTATAAAGTGTGTTTTCTTTGTTATAAGTGTGTGGTTGCGTTCTAGTCACTTTGCTCAGCACTACTGCTTGTTACAACTTGTATTTGCCCTACTCGCCTTAACTGTTAGCTCAGGTTAATCTCGCCCCCCTCCGACGTAAGCGTGACGTATGCGGTTCTTGCTTCTAGACGGACAACTTTTTGGTGCTCGAAACGAACCAGATTCCGGAGCTTAGAGGCGGCTCCGCTGCGGTGTGAACAGGAAAAAACGGTGCTTTTCAAGCTCCAGCTCCGAACCGGCCCTGGAACCGCGTTGGTGTGAAAGGGGTATATGTGATACATAGCACACACCATTAACAAGAAACTCGTACAGAACGGTAACTTCTTATGCACAATATCACAGTCTATTTTTCAGTGTATGTCAAAAAGCAATTATAGGCCTATCTTGGCTTAATTGTTGAGTGTCTAGTAAAATACTATATCTTAACATCTAAAAGCATATATATATGGTTAACTGAAACTGAGGTACAATAACAATATAATTAGCTGTTTTTTTCAACTCCAGGAAGTCCTCTATCAGATACGACAATTATCAGTGAGTTTAAAATAAGCCACTCACCCCTTGGATACCATCAGGAATGACGTAAGTGATCTTGATCGCAGAGTCTTTTGTGTGACCTGGCACGCTGATATTTTTTCTACAGATGGTCATTTCCCCCTGGATGCCCTGCGATGTCTGCTTATGACAAACTCTGCAGTGGGCATGTACAACGTCTAGGCACTTGGAGCAGAAGGCAGCACCACACTTAGTTTTCATCAGCATCTCACTCTCACCACACACACAGACGCACCCTTCTGGATTTGATCTGGATTCCTCTGTGTCTGGGATCTTGGTTTGTCTTTGCTGCACACTGTCCTCCTGTTTAGAATGTACAGTTCTCTCCTGCTTATGGAGGTCTTCATCAGCAGGGGTTGTTGTTGACTCAACATCATTCACATGACTCACAGGTCTATCATTTCCTGCTTTAGAGTGGTTGACAAATGTCTCAGTCCTCTGTCCATCTATCTCCAATGTGTTTACAATTTTCACTTTCTCTTTTATAACAGGGTCTTTCCTCACTGACGGCTGACTAATAGCTCCATTCATAATATCTGTCTCAAAAATGTCACTTCTGTGGTTTGCTGTTCTTTCCTGACTGTCAGTTCCATTTGCTTTGCCTGTTGGGTTGTTTAGCATCACCTGAGGATAACTGTAACAGCGCAGATTCGTATTTTGGTCCTCGTTCATTTGTAAAAAAGTGGATGGATTACCGTTAAAGGTAGAGGGGCCAGAGAAGTCGTGTTGTTCAGGTATCTGGGCCGAATCTCCAGTAAATACCTCAAGCAAAGACGCAGCTACCTGAGAACACAACGTTTCTGGGCCGAGAAGAAATAAGCTCTCTTTTACAATCTGCAACTGAACCTTTTTGAAGCGGCTCCGCACCTCAGCACAACAAGCCTCCAAGGTTTCATCTGCTGTGTCAGTGATACCCAACTCTGACAAACGCAGCTGCTGAACATAAAAGTCTACACTAACTGAATCAACCAGCTTCTGTAAACCTAGCAGACATGAACTCACTTTGGATGAGTTTGCCCCTCTTAAGGTGACAGTCAGATTACTAATGCCCCCTGAGCCAATCTCTTTCATCTGGACATCAGAAGTCAGGTCTTCCACTCGGGTCCTGAAAGCCTCTTTTATATACTTCCACATCACAAGGGAAACTGTAATCTCTGCATTGTAGACTTCCAGCTTGTCCCTCCCTGTTTGGTTACTGAAGCTTGAGGACCTGCCCCTTGCTCTTACTGTAGGCTTGCCAGAGTCGTCTTGACTCTTCTGACTCATAACTTGCGCCTTCTGCTGCTGCGGCGATCCTGAGAAACTACTGGCTCTCTTCAAGGTGGAACCAGACCCAGCAGGTGGAAGCGGAGGGCCTCCTGACAAACTGGTGGTGCTAAGGGGGGATGTTAAAGACTTTGGTCGAGTATCAACTGAATGCGAGTTTAAGGAGGTTTTATTCTGCATGGAAGAAGTTGAAGGCAAAGCATCTCCACTCCTAAACAAGATGTCGCCTCCAGTGTTTTGGGCTAATGCTCTGGGGACACTCTCACCAGAAACCCCTGCTGTTTCTGACAGCACATTTTGCCCTAAAATTGGCCCCAGGCGTGGTTGTCTACTAGGAGATGAGAGCCCTCGTAAGGTGAAGTCAGTGGGTCGACGGCCTAATGCAGCAAGCCCTGAGTCCTTAAAGCGAGCGGCTAGTTTATACTTTCTGGCTCCTTCAGCTTTCCACCCATCCTCCTCTATCCTGTCATCCAGAGAGGAGGACACCGTCAGGGGAACTTTAAACTCATCTGCATGAGTTGATGAACCTGAATATGAAGGATATTTAAGAAGACTGGCTACATTCTCTTTTTTACCTATCACTTCGACGGGGTCAAGGAGAAGAAACTGCTTGGCCTCAGAAACATCACTACTACTCCCAATAAGGTAAATATTTTGGTCATCTTCGTTCAGAAGAAGCTTAGGAAATCTGACACTTAAGATCTCCATGGCCTTTTGCAGTCCGCCCCTGAGAGACAGGATATTCTTGGAGAGCTGGCCTCGCCGGATCTTCTTCTCATTCTCCTGGTAAAGACTACTTATTGCCTGTCTTGCCAATTTTAGGCATTTCTGATCTTCACCACCCTCCTCCACTCCTGATGCAACTTTCAAAAACAGAGTTGTCAACCCATGATTTGTCATATCCACTACATCAACACTATACTGACTAAGGATATGTTGGTATTCCTTTCGGCAGTGTTTTTTCAGATACTCGAACATGTCTGCATCCAAAATGAGTGACAAATCCTCCCCTGATGCCGTAGGATGCCCAGGAAGCTGCAAAACTGGACCCTCTATCTGGTCATTATTTTCCAGGCCAGAACCAGCAGGTGTCAGCGGTTTACGTGAGCTAGAGTTGTTCTCATCATAAGGCATGCCAAGGTCAACCTTCTCTCTTTTTTCTCTCTGCTTATATGATTTCCTGCTCAGATCTTCTAACTCCAGAGTTTGAGGCTTCTGTGCTATCTGAACAGACCTGGAGCCCCTGGTGGCAGGTTGACCTGAGTCTTTGTTTTCTGCTGATTTTGG